TAAGCAAACCTTTTCCCATCTCTTTGATTAAGGATATCTATGGTCAGGTTGGTACTGCCCTTTCCGAAATTTGAGTGCTGTATTCATCGCCTTCAAACCTTGAGTGGATTAATAAACATTCAAGCTTTAGTCTTCTGAAGCCATTCCTACCAAGCTTCAGAAACCTAGTTTATGTGTTCAGAAGGAAATAGCTGTTAATCTTTCTTTAGAGTGGTGAGAAATACTTCTTCATTGCATAAGAATTTGTCCAACTCTTTTTTTCAACTGCTTGCATCACTACTTTTTTTTACTTCGACTGTCTTCTAGATCAGTAATCTTACTTCAATTGACTGAGCTTACTCAATTTACTTCTTATTATCAACGTTTACTTATTATTTAACCACTTTTTTCTTGCCCTTTGAACCTTTGTTACTATCAACGTTGTAGAATGTTGTTTTATATAAAGCATATATTTACAATATTTCATTCAGTCTATTAAATTTACTTACACCCTTGCTATACTATACTGATATATCTTCAAAGTAACTTCCAACTAAACTCTCATGTAAGAAAGTTAAAACTATTTTGTAATTGTGATTTTTATATGTCATAGGTTGTAAACAGCTGATGAAAACTAGATGAAATATAATGAATTCATGCTATTCTGTTTAAATCTTTTTTCTGACTCTCTTCAAAATGGTGATGGAATCTATGTCTATAAAAGATCCTTTATTTGTTTTCTTCCATAGATGTGTTCCGAAAATGGATCATCATTGTCCTTGGATAAATAACTGTGTTGGTTACCATAATTATAAATATTTCATGTTGCTTATCTTCTACGGTTTTCTGTATTGTGTACTATGTTTTCTATTTGCTTTATCCTACTTGCTAAAATACATAAAGGTAAATTGTGTGAAATTGCATTATTTATTGTCATAATCTTATTGCTTAGATTCGAACGACTAGTGTTGCTAATAATCGATCGTGGGGTTTGTTTTGTGCATTTACTCTGTCGCTTTTATCGGCTGTGTTTGCAGTGGCACTGTTAATCCTGCTCCTATTCCATACGTATTTAGTATTTAAAAATAAGTCTACGCTAGAATATTTTCGGCCACCAAATTTTCGTGGTAACAGTCATCGTATCTACGGTTTTAATCTTGGGTGGAAAAATAATTTTCTTCAAATATTTGGTAATAGCATCAAGCATTGGCTGTTGCCTGTATTTTCTAGGTAAGATTACAAAAATATCTATTTGCGCTATTTCATTTAATGTTTCCTATTTATAAGTTTAGACGAATCTGAGACAACTATTGTAATAGTATAATATGGGTTCATTTATGCTGTAGATGCACTGCAGCTGCTTACAACTTGAAAATAGTAGCAATGATCATTGAAAAAACGTAGTGTACATTATATCATAACATCGGAAAGTCTCAATAATGCAGCTTAATAAGAAGGCGGTTTTTTCAGTGACTTATTTTCTCGTTTCAACATACTTCTGAAATGTTTGTATTATTTAACATATAAAGGTCCAATCATATTAACATCTTATGAATTTTGTATACTTATTTATTAATGCTCATTAATGAGAGCGTTTTTGTTATAAAGTACATCTACTACTTGAGAAAAAACTGGTGCTATTATGTGGTGTGACCTTGATTATGTCACTAAGTGACCTGGTATGCAAATACTTATTTCCAGCACCGAGTCACTGTTACCAAGCTCTAGTCAGAACACAAATATGCAACAACCAATATAATCTCTGTATATCTAAATTAAAAACTGATATAATTATTATACATAAATTACGGGACCACAACTCACTGTGGATAAGAAATTGCAGTAAGTGCCTAACTAGGACATTTACGGAGTAGTGGGTTCTATAGTAAATTTAAAATACTTTGAGAACAGAAAATGAGTTAACAACAGTTAATGAATCGAATGAAAGCTTATAATTAAGGGAGTGCGAAAATACCATAAATGTATGTTAGAAATATAAATACTAATCTCTCAAAAAGTGAATTCCAGTGTTGATTATTTTCATTTATCACGTCCTAAAATTCTTAAGTTGTAAACAGCTTGAAGAGAACCCATGAAATAAAAAAGTTCATATCATCTACAATTGCTCTTGCTTTATGTAAAGATTGGGTAGGGCTGATACAGTGTTATAAACCGTTAAGTAGATTTTCCCCCTAAGTTTTAACCACAGCACCACGCTTGTTCTATTTCCCATAAATTTATGTTCACCTGTTTTCTATTTTTGGATCCGCAATAAACATTTAACACTCCTATAAATCAGCCCTAAATAAAAGTCCATTGGTTTCAAATAAATATATGCCAAAGAGTGACTGAATTATTTTTAAAACATCTAACAATTATGATGAGCTCGTACTGAAGAGCCCACACAGAATTTTACTTGTGATCTTCAGATTTTGATTGGTCGCGATATCATGCAAAAGCCCTCAAATACCCTGGTACGGCCGAGAATGGGGAGGGGCCACCCTCCCTCTCGAAATGCTCTCACACGGCCACGCGTATACAACCTCTGCTAGAGAGGTCCCTACTCATTGCCTTCTCGTGGCATTACTATTCTTTACGAAATTGAGAGGACGAAAAGCGAATGTCCGGAGCTCTAACCGGGTCGGTGGAGACGGCGCTTCCACCTAGGAAAGTTGGGAAACCCTGATTCCATACCAATGGTGCACATGGGCTTTAGTATCCTTAAAGAACAAATGGCGTATGAATCAATCGTTGGTCATCGGCTACCATGGGACTGCATCTCCTCACGATGCTTCACTGTCTTGTGGATCAGACCGTTAGGTCAAAGGCTCTGGGTGTGGCCCCCTTAGGAATCCGTCTGTTTCGGTCTTGGCACTCGGGCAGTATCACAGCCCACGCACAAATAGATTGAAATGAAGATATTTACTGAAAGTGCGGCGCATATATATCTGGTGCCCCCTTGTACCAATATTTATGTGTCCAAATAATAATGATTTTCTAGTGATTCATGCTTTCCAGCTTGTCAGTTTGTGACACAGTACAACTATCACCTAACGTTATTTCTGTGCATCTGTTTACCGGTCATCGAGGGCTCACCAATCAAGCAATCGATTCGACCCAGTAGAACTCAAGTCGTTAATCATAATCTCTGGAGTTAACTAAATTATGAACATTAGGATGAAATAGCTCCATAATACTAATTTTTAATAGTTAATAAAACCTGGACATTACTTAGTAATCACTTTTGTGCATTATCAGCGATACTACTCGGTTACAGAAGTATATGTCAGTATTTTTTGAAACCACAACTTACAGATCGAAAGTTGAATGCACGAACTGTTAAGTCAATTACATTATAATCCAGTAGATGTAGCCCAATGATAACAATTACTTCCGAATCAACTAAATCCTTATTAATCACTTTAACAATTGTTGTATTTTCTTCCGGTTTTAGTGAAGGAGATGGAGTCTCTTTCCGAATCCGAGAAATTCCAACTCATGAAGACTACTCCCTGTTGCTGTCGACTATCTAGTATTGACGAATGAGATCTATCTTTGTCACTTACATGAGTTCATACAATTCTGGCTGGATTTGTGATAATTAAAAAAAACTTTTGTCTACCTGTCATGTCAACTAGTTTTTCAAATAAATTAAATATCTTATCCTTATTTTTCACTCGTAAATGCATTTCTCGGAACCTGTGATAATCCTTTCCCTTTTTGGGAAAATACATATGATTTTTTTTCTTTATACTTCGTCGTTACCATTTTTACAAACACGCAGCGCATCATTCAACAATGGATTACAATACGTCATACCTACTAACGTCTATCTATGAACTAGTTTCGAACATCTTGTCACTGTAGATAAAATGTAAATGGAGTCACACAACAGTTATAGACTTTATAACTTTCCTTTTCAATCCTAGGATCTAGGGGTGTAGTTGATGAACGGGCTCCAGTACCCTGAGGGAACAAATGCATCTCCTCGTGATGCGCCACTGCCTTGTGGATCAGACTTTCATCTGAGTCTTAGAACCCGCCAACCCACTCTCTTTGTCTTTTAGCTAGACGTTGGTGTTTTGTGTTAAGCAATTCAGTTAGTTTACGACTTATAAAGGCAGTTTAGATTATGTATTAATAAAGGTTGATAAGATATTTGTGACACACTACGTTCGACAGCTAGAAGTCAATGTTGACTCCTAGATTTTGTGAACTATCAGTATGTATGTGTTTCTATGGTGAGTTTGATCATTGTCTTTAATCTTCACCACTGAAATAGTTTCAATTTATTTCTTTATGGCAACTTAAGCTTTTAACAACGTGCCTAATATCTTTCCTTCATTTACTTACGTTAAAAATATTATCTCTTCAGGGTCTTCACTAATTGTCATTATGTTACTAATTTGTCAGAATGCTCAACGGTTTGTTGTTATTGTTCTACAACCACCACAAGTATATGCTATCTCTGAAAAGTGTGTCTAATGTTACTGTTGTTTGCGAGCTATAATTTTTGACGAGTATACAGCACTAGATTTCCTAGAGAGGGTTTATGCAAACGGGGTAGTGTTCTCCAGCTACAGTACATATATGAAGGTGTGCATATCCTACATTTCCTAATATACAAACATGTATTGGCACAATATTTTTCGTGAAACACCGCATATTTTTGTGTGCGTATATTCTCCTTTCCACTCATTATTTTGCAACAGGATTGCCTCCGAACACCGGGGGGGGGGACTATGTGGAGATGGCTGACATAAACGTGTTTTCTAAATGACTTTTGTCATTATTCACATTTTCCATAGTTTCACGTAATTTGTACAAGTACTGTTATTTGACTGCAAAATGATTTTTAAAACCTAACCTTGACTGTGTTGCCGTTTTGTCCGCTTCTCGCACGGTATACTAGTTATCGCTCTTAAATACAATTCTAGTTCTCACTTAACAACCGTTGCGATAACAAACTTTAATATGACTGCTATCTATGTTTTATTTTTTAGGGAATTAGCACGGAATCCATGGGTATTATAGATGAAGGTCTACCAGAAATTGTTGATGAATTGGATTATCAATACAGAACCGCAAACTGGCTTATTAAAACCAGAGAGCCATTTTGCCTTGGAAATGATGTAAGAGGACAACTCTTATCTCTCTTACGCAAACAAAGTGAATTTTCACGGACGCAGTTTAAAGATAAAGGTGTTTTTAAAGTTCCGTTTGTTGGATCTATGGTATTTGAAGATGGATATGGAGATTATGTTTTGGATTGGTTTCCCCCAAGTGACCAATCAATAATTCCAACCAATATTGTTGTCTATATTCATGGAGGTTATTGGCAGTTAGTTGGATGGGAAGAATCCAGTAACTGGGCAGTTCCTGTTACACATGCAGATAGTATATTTGTCTCTTTGTCTTACAGGTTAGCTCCAAAAGAAAAACTGGAAGCGATGTCACAAAGTCTATGTCTGGGAATGCAAAAAGTTATGACTCTTACGCATAAAATGTTTGGTAACTTAGATGATACGAAGCTCCGTATAACCCTATTTGGACATTCTGCCGGTGCACACTTAGTTCTGGAAATGATATATTGGGCTCATATGGACCTCGAATCAAATAATAATTGGCTATGCTGTTTGCGAAACCTTGTTTTAATGTCAGGAGTTTATGATCTTCGTCCAATTATCCACACTTACGTAAATAAAGCAATAAAGTTTAAAACGGTTGAGGAGGCTTTGTCTGTCAGTCCAATCCGACACTTCATGCAAGATGGTCCAAATCTACTGCTCAGCAAATCACTTCATTGGATTGTTGCTTGGGCAGAGTACGAATCGCCAGCTATGAAGGGACAATCTAAATCACTAGCGGACTTGTTAAGTAAAGCATCAAACAGAAGTGGACAAGGCTCACCTTTGCAATTTACCTATGAAACGTCTTATATGTCAAATGAAGATCATTTTACTTCACTCCTCGGTTTGCATGATGGTCCAAATCACAGTTCTATCCTCAAAAAAATCATAGATCTCATTAACGTCAAGCCTATTTAGTTGGGTCGCACAATATAAAATCATAGAATGAAACAGTGATTTCTAAGCAAATATTTTCGAGATTATATGTCTACATATGGAGTCGTTTTAATTTTCAACATAAATCATAGAATTAAAAGTAGGGACAGTAGAAAAACATTAATTACTAAGTGATAAATTAACTAAAAGCTATGACCTACTGGGTGACTAGTTCAGTGAAAAACTACTTTTACTTCTACACCTACACCACAAGATGTATTAAGCACATTTGTACTGGCACCAAGTTTGATATTTAGGTACCAATCTGACATAATTTAGTTTTGAAATTTAATGTGGCGAGACCTAGTAAACTGTACTGTGTTATGGTAATAAATTTTCAAAGGCAATGAGATGTTTGGTGGTAGCTAAGTCAACTCAACTAATCTTTAACCGTTCAGTTTGCATAGACAGACTGTCGCTGTTGATAAGTGAGAAACTGTCAGCGACCGTTGTCTAGTTTTACCAAATATTAATTTTAGCCAAAAACGTTTCTTAACCACGAGCCATTAAGTTATTATTAGAAATTCCTCTTATCTTTCAAGTTAATGTATTTTCTCGCAGATAATTCGCTTTATCATGAACCAAGTTAATTTAAAAAAGGCAAAATATTTGGTACATGAGTTAGTCAAATATTTTTATTAATAAAATCAGTATCCAGATCAATCCAAAGAATCCTATTAAGAACCATGAGAACGCTCGATCATAAAATTTATTATATATAATGATTCAGATTTTAGTATAACTTTCAACGTCCGTATAGAAGTCCTCAGTCATTTAGAAAAGAAGTTTTATAGACGAGATAGCAGTTACAACAACAAGATACTTGTGCTTACCGTCTATGCGTACATTCCCTTACATAGAGGGAAAATATTACGAATTTTACGGCGTGGATGTGAAAATGTCTGAACTATTCGAAATAACATTAAATAGTAACCACTATTACTTGAAACGGATTTAGACAATGAAGCAGGAAATGCGATTGCAAGGCTACGCTCATGTAGTCTGAAATTCAAAGTTTTATGTAAATTATCGTGACAGACTTAATCTGTTTTCTGTCTAGCCTGTATCCCTTACACTAAAATCTTATTATATTAGCCTTTGATGAGTGTTTACTTACGTAGTTGGGATATATGTCAAGACTGTGTATGTGATATCTAACTAATATGACCTTTTCTTCAACTTCACAAATTCTAGTTGTACGAAACTTTGTTATAGGCTTTCTGTAATCACTGACTATGCCGATAGCTTTTTTCGCCAATATATGTAAGTACGTGTTGTATGTTAATTGTTGGAGTCCCTCTGCTTGAATCTGACTCCAGAGATAAATCATCTCAAGTTACATTGTATGGCCTAATTACCCAGATACTTGATCCACTAATTGTCACTAATGCAAATCCAAGATTTGGGAGCAAACGTTGTGGGACATTATTTCAGCGGACCACAGAAGCAGCCTCGCAGAGTCCTAACATGGGAAGAAATGTATCTACATTATTTTGCCAGACAAATAATGTACATTTTTCGGTGTATAGAATAGAGATACTATAGGATAAGGAACCTGCAATGAAATTCAATTTATGAGCGGATGGAAAATTCAAGGTACCCTGATTAGGTGGAGTAGAACAACTGTTATTTTGTAATATACAATTAGAACATAAGTTTCTCTTAGGCATTAGGTTTTGTGAAAGAAATTTTGGGATCGGTGAAAATAAAAAGGTAAAATATCACGTGGAAACGTTGGGAGATCGCAACACCGACAACAGGCTCTTATCAGTGACGTATCCACTGTCCACCACGATAAACTCAGTAAATACGTGCATTTATTGTCAGCAACGCAGACGTAGGTAAGTTAGCAGAAATTGAGAATACCAGTAAACCAAACACAATTCACGTAGACTAACAACAACGACACAAAATATCTTTCAAAACCCCACACTTTTTGCTGTACACTACAATCTAACAATGTACCTATCACTGGTACCAATAGTATTATCAGATTATACACTCCATATATGATACAGACCCACCAACTAGGAATTGAGGGCCGATTATGTTTAAACCGCCTAGTTACATCTGTGTGCTGACTTGGGAGTGGGGGAGGACATATAGTGTAAGTGCACGCTTAATTGTAAAATATGGGGTTTTTAAGGGTCAGTCAAATACGCAAAACTGGTTTTTAGTAATAGAAATACGGAAAGCAGACTAAATCAACTGTAGATCTTAGACTAGCATTTCCATACTTCATACAATAAGGAATTTTGAGCATGAAGTAATCTCTGTGCTACTTCGCTTATGGTTTTAAGATGATTAATCAAAAGGGGAGGGGGGAAGAAACAGCATCAGAGGACAAAGGTAAAACAAACAATTGAGGGACAAGCATTGAAAGTATAGATTTATATTAAAACAAATTAGAATTATTAATGGTGAGTTCACTAGAGTTTCTTTATCCGGTCTTGGCCCACATAACCCCATAAGGGGAAAGTCTATTGCACCTAGTACATCGACAAGCGAAAAATATGAAGGGATAGTTTCTGCCTAAACTAGGCATTCTATTTACAAGTGCGTATTCGAAATGGCAATAGGACACCAGTGAGTAATATATTTGAAAGTCTACTGGCACCTAAAAAAGCACCGTGCACTATCTCAAAATTTTCATTTAATTAGTAAAATACATTATTTAGAAACTCATGACCCTCTTATCATTTTAACCCATAATCAATGGACAATATGAAATGCGAAAGCAAATAATATTTTGTGTGTAATGAAGCACAGCTAAATATGCCTCTATGATGCTGATCCAGTTTGTTGCAGGTGTTTTATTACACTAACCCAGTTCCAACCTCTAGGTAACTCTCCATCTTGTCCTAGTCTATCTAGGTGCTTCCTTTTTTGACTTTTAGATAATTGAGGTAGTTTATCCTGTTTACGAGAAACCTATACAAACAATGTATGAAAATGTCAAACAATTTGGACATACCGACGAGGTTTCACTCGAGAATGAATGGCTTTGTGACTTATCTACTTTGTCAACTGCAAAAGACTTAGCAAATCGCTCATGATTTTCCTTTAGATACTCAATTAAATTAAATGTTAGTGCTGAGCCAAGTTGATCTTCAGCAACAGACACTAATTCTTCAGTTATTTTCTCCTTAACATTTAATGGGATATGATGATTATAAAAAGAATTCATAGAGATACAAGGTAAAACGTCAGGATATCCTTCAGGCCAGTAAACTTGTACGATGAATGAAGAAGTCGTTCCTGCTTCACCCACCTAAACAATGATTATTTTTTAAAATGTGAAACCAACCTTGTATTCCAAATTATAATCGTCTGATATCGTCAATTCTTCTTCATCGAAAATTGATCTTAGCACTTGAGCTTCCTCCTAAAGTATTAAACTAGCGGCTCCAAAGCAAACCTCTCTTGGGTCACATATTGCCATTCCTCACTAAAACAAAATGAAGGAATAGTTGTACAAGGCAAAACAATTGATTATTAGCTAGAACGTAAAACAATGGAGACTATCAGAAGTGTCTCGTCAGGAAGTTTAGACCCAAAACCAGGCCTCACTACTGATTAACTGCTTTTGTGAATTAAAATGATTTCGGGGTGCTTTTGGCTGATTAGAACTCACGAAAATGGGTGAAGTACGGTTTTTATCGTATTGTCAACGAATTGGCCACAGGAACTACACTTTATTTGTTGAATACCAAAAGCCTTTCTTGAAGTGGTAAATCTTTTTTGACGAAATAGAACGAAGTAAGAAAGTGAATGATGCTAAGCAAATTGAGGGAGGAGAAACAATAATGATGACGATGTTAAAAATGATTATTTGTGGACGATTTAAAATGTTTTGCTACGGAATTGATTAGTTATACAAAAATCGTTCGAGAATCGGCATAACTTTTTCTAAAGTCTCGACTATCGCTCATAGTCACATGAATGTGTGGAAACAAGTGTTACAATTATGTAAAACTCAAAAGACAGAATAAATTTGGAAAAGGAGTGAATACTTTTACTGTAATCTGCTTTAGCATAATATATGGTGATATAGTCAGATGGGTCATACAAATCTTTTCTGTTCAGTGGTCTTACTTGTTAATACGACTTCGAGTCTAGGCGAATGCGAAAGGCGTACATGTAAGCCATATGAGAAATTTGGTACGTAACTCGGAAGGTTTCTTTTGAATTCGTCTATTATCTTGCGTCAATTATATCAGCAAGTTAGGTTTTCCTAAACAACATCAACTTATCTGCAGAAGGTAAAGTTCGTAAACTGGATGACAGACTTGTTTAAGCGTGTGACCATAGTTTATGGACTACCTTTGAGTAACGCTAAGACGACCAGAAAAATATCTACCATCAGCTTAAGTCATGTGAGAGTTATAAATTGTGGGAAATAAGAATAAGGACATACGTCAGGATACAGGGCTGCGATATGGTTGGCTAAAATGCTACCTAGATAAATAGAGAAGTGGGTCGCGCGCAGAAGTTACAAGACTTTCTACTTTAAATCTGACTAGATTCTTCCAGAAATTAGTTTTCGACGACGCAGTACTTCACGTAAATACTTCTAACAACAAACTGCGAGCATAAATCTCTCACGTGAAGTAAATTTTGAGTTCACCTATCTTTCTACACGGTTTGTAGAAACGCTTTTAACATCTAGTTTAGGATTTAAAGCCTATATAGAATCAGTGATAATTACGATCGATTCATGCTTGAACTTTTAATACTCGAGGAGATACAATTGTTTGTCAGCTCAGACAAGCATTAAGCGTATTACAACTACTTTTAGTGGACTCTAACAGTTGATAAATTTCTCTGACCTCGATAAGCCTTCAAGTCAGAAACGGACCTTGAGTGCAAATTGTCCGCTTTAAAAGTCTACATAAACAATCTATTCGAATAGGTTTACATTCCGTAGAAAACTAGCTGACTTCACACTTCGTATTCGAAGAAATCATCTATAATGATGACACCTTTGTTTTCAATAGTTCATCATTGAAATATTCGTGATTAGTTGGTAGTGACCTACTTTTATGAGGAGAATGCGATCAGTAATAATGAAAAAAAATTATTATTATTATAACGAACTGCACAAGTGATTGTCACACTGTACCTGTTTGCTCAAGTGTATCGGAAAACTCACTCTTCCTTTTTTTGACCTTGCAAGAACTCTTGTTCGTTCGGTAGTCTCGCTCGTGGATTTGGACACAATCTCGGTATTATTTCTAAACCATGAGATCACTAACAGATTCATCCTACTACCACCTCCAACTGCCTCCTGATATATGATCTTCGAAAGCTGTTTAATCTATTAACTGGCACATAGTTTTCCTGTATAGGCGGTCATAGTCGATCGCGACTCCACGCCTACTACATCTGGTGAGCGACGACTGCGAACACACATCAACCGCTGGAAAGTCTCCCGAAGAAGGCTATCACGGTGAGTCTATTATCTATGTATCCACATTTGTTGCACATTTTCATACTGACACTTTTCAACATATAATTTTCGGAAAACAATTCGAAATGGTGGACAATGTTTAGAGTAGCATTATTACAATAGACTCCGAAGTACAGGTTATCGATTTCCTACCTGTTTTCTTCATTTACCATTATCCAGAAGTTGTGTTCGAGGCACTAGAGTCTCACTTCGAACTCTGCCGCATTAAGAATCAAAACTCTTCCGTTTTTTTGTGACCTTGCATGAACTCTCGTTCGCTCGTTAGTATCGCTTGTGGATTTTGGCACGATATTGGCATTACTTCGATGTCACGAGATCACGAACAAATACTTCGTACTACAACTTTCAGCTGCCTTTTGTCCTACGGGCTTCGAAAGTGGTCTAAACTAGTAACTGGCACTTAGTGTTCCTGTATTGGTGATCACAGTGGACTACGACTGAACGCCTAATACAAACTATCAATATATATATATATAAGAGCTCGTTGCGAACAGGAAAATGTTCCAACGTTATTTGCATTTCTCAAGGTAGTGTTGTACCCTTACACAACAAGAGTATCAATTTAGGTCCGAAAAATCTGTCCTGAGCTTAACATTCGGTAGGTTGCATTCCTTTTAGAGTTTTACATGAGTTCATTGCTATATGTGGTTTCACCTCAACTTACTATTCCGTCTTCATAGTTTTCCACCTTTATGATAGTTTAGTATATCCTAACGCTTTTTCATCAGCCATTTTTTTCGATTTTGAGTGTTTTGTTTTCGCTTCGCAGTCGTAAACGCTTGCTACGATCAATCTAACAACGCACATTTCACCATGGTCATGAAGAACTCATGCAAACAACCTGGATGCCGTTTTTCTATCACCTGTGGTATGCAGAGTGACAAGAGCAATGCTTATCTGCACTAAACATGCACAGACCGTACAGTAACTGCTTACAACAAACTTATTAAGTCAGATAGCATTTGGATGTGTGTCACATGCAATATGAATGCCTAAAATTTGCTGGGCATCATCTTTCTCTTGACAAGTGCACGAAAAGCATTGTCGACAACCCTGATAAAGGCAGTCTCGAAGCTGACAAACAAAGACGTGCAGTATAGTAAAGCGGAGGGTCTTCGACAACGTTATTATCGGTGGAATATGCATCAGGATTGGTGAGGATATACTGAAAATCAGCATCATAATGAAGTCGACGTTGTTAGACCCTCTCATCAAACTTTAGTTACCCATCATGGCCCCCAAATGCAGCTGTGGTCCTTGAAAACTCTTTGGGAGAGTGGACCAGCATCCACAGAATAGAAATTGATCTGTGTTATCGTCGTAAATGATGACAGTTACATGGCTAACTCGAGGGGAAGGGTTCCAAGCACCAAAATCACCCAACACTCCTTCGAGTAATGTTCACTAGTACTGGGCATGTGAAGGATGTTCTACTGGCCCGTCACTCGCTGAAGTTTGATGGAGATGTAAAGATAGTGCCTAGAACGGACAGTAGCTACCGACTCGGAAAACCCTATGTAGATACATTGTCAGTCCGTTCACACAGTGCTTATTCAGATATGGACATGAGCATTCCAAACAAGGGAGAAACAATACGCAAAAGCGATAGGAGAGGACAGGCTTCAGTATGAGGTAAAGCTACTCAACTAATTTGCCTCCAATCTGAAAAGTTTATTTCGTCATGTGGCTTCTTTCCGACAAGCCAAAACCAGATAATAATAATAAACCAAATAATCGACATCTTAGGGTCAGAGTAGGCTTCACATTTTCTCAGACTGCAGAATAACCTAGTGGGTTCCCCCAGGGTTCAGTACTAGTACAACGACGGGCTCACCTTCATCACTTCAAAGTGTAAAGTAGCCCGCGTGATCCATGTCGCAGACAATGAATGCAACTTAGGTAACTCCCCTCTAGAGTTATCCGAAGTACTAATGGACGTTACAATATGACAATACACGTTAGTAGTAATCGGAGGACTAATAGAATAATCGGTTAACATAAATAGACATCTATCGATAAAGTTCAAGTAAAGATGAAGACCAATATCAGGCTGGGTTTCTTTAGTCGGGTTTTCCAAAATAGAATTATGTTCTTCTTCGCTATAAGCACTGCTCTAATAATAGACCTAATCCTAAAATTGTAGATTTGTCATGATGTGACTACCCAATCTATAAGATCTTACGTGGAAGTCGCATCATTGTCTATGCCGACTCATCGTATCGTAACAATCACCAATATATGCTAGAGAACACATTTAGACTGGAGATAGAACAGTACATTTAATATGAACAGAAGTGATAAGACAACAAATAAGAATGGCCACGCCTGCACGGCTGAGCCATTCCATCCGATGAATTGAATTAGTTGAATTCTTTCTTCCCGCCCTCTCCATCGTTAGGTTTTTCTCCGCGTCAAATGTTGAATAACTATTTTCCCAGTTATCTGATGTTCAACTTTGAAGATTGTGTGGTGAGGGCCCCATGCCACTACATGTTCTCCCTCACTCCAAAGGTCTAGGAATACGTTGGAATGTATCCAACGGTGAGCCAGTTAATAGATTTTCGGATTCCAACTGAAGCCTCACGAAGAGCGCCTGCAGTCAGTGAATCTTTACTCGATGGAGTAAAGGCGTCTTAGAGCTGATCTTCTAATGATTAGCGGCATCCTAAACACTCCTGGGCATCGCCTTATATACCGAATTTAGCTGGGTCACAACAAAATCCTTAGGATTTACACCTAATTCGTTGAGCGAACATTTCATGTTTCGCGCTCGCATTACCCATAATATATTCCATGACAGTGGAATAACTGGCTGGTGATCAGACGGGGGAATACATGGACAATGATAATGTCTTCAGTTAAGCGCAACACGGATTAAGGAATGACGGTTCTTCAGGAGTCTAATCTTCACGTTTTACGGGACAACTGAACAACCTGATGGGACAAAAATATACTGATCCATGTTATATTCCTTGTCTTCGCTATAATATCTGACCAATTACTACACATCCTACTCACAGCGAAGGATTTTACTGACCAACTTCTGTCCTGGCTTTGAACTAACTAGAATGACAGAATGTTTCAAACCAAGGCAGGTAAAGTGCACGACAGCTGCAGCGTCTTGACACTTTTGTGAACCCCTATAAATTTTAAAAAAGGAGAGTGAGGTTCAGCGGTGTAATTGTTATCCCAGTCCAAGTTACGAAGCAAGAAGAGCCAAATTGTACACTATAAAACAAAGGAAGCTTAATAAACGCTTTTGGCATTGATTTTGCGAATTTACTACAGCCAAAAACGACGCAAATACGAGAAAACCTGATATTCGTGCAACCCACAGGACAACCAACCGATCCTCAACAAATCAAATACGGAATGACCGCCTCGTGACAGGCCGTTCAAGGTCGCGCATATGAAACGGCGGGCAGGTTTGAAAACGCACTGACTTATTTACCTTGCCGAATAAGTTACGTATTAATTCGCCGGGCTTAAAGGCGCAACACTATTGTTTCATCAAAGAGCGCATTCAAGATAGTAACCATTTATATGATATACATATAATATATATAAATAAAATAAATGCCAATAAACACATGCAAATCAAACCACAACTACTTGGTAAGCAAAAATGGATAGTGGCTAGAAGTGGAATCCAGGACGCACGTTTCAACTTATTTGGGACTCGTCAGCTGGATGTACCTGCATCTCAGAGTTGACGTTCACTCTGGATAACGCAATGGCGTTTGAAGCGAATGGTACTGGGTTCGAGTCACAGAGTGAACATCAACTCTGAGATGTAGGTACATCTGGCTGACGAGTCCCAAATAAGACTAAACGCGTTTCCTGGATTACACTGCTAGCCACTATCCATCTTTGCTTACCATGCTTGTGAATTTAGGCTATATCAAAGCAATACGCACAGTATGCACATATGCCAATGCGAGACTGACCAGTTGCAGTCCTAAACATCAATGTGAAGATTCAAACAAACAATAATAAGTTGAATCACAACTATTTGGTTTAATTTATTGACGCCAGAGTTTTAAGCACACTGTGTGCATTTCATTAAATTAGTGTTTGTTTTGCTTATACTCTATATGTATGTACTTATTGGGGTATTTATTATGTCATTTAAACTGTAAAATAATCGCTCTTTATTTAATTTTTATCACATTCTTTAACTTTTAGTGCAAACAATCACGAAAATATATTAATCAGACACTGTTGTTTTATACTTTTAATACATTTCTCAGAGAACTGAAAAATAACAAGGTCGGAAATGTGAATATAGCGTAAAATTCATTTTATTTAAATCAAACAGAAACAAAGTTGATTAATCGAGACCAACCCTATAAACCATATAGCCACTTAG